TTCTATTCCTATTTTCAGGTCATCTAGTTTATCGTTTTATTTTATGTCCTAAGCCTCTTGCAATTCAGTGCCATGTGGGCATACATCTCTCCCTGTTCAGCACCATTACCGTCAGGATAATATTGCTGGTTCATGGGTTCTGAAGATCCTTGTCCATGACTGTATTGCTCACTATAATATTCCTCCTGACCCATGTACTGCTGAGAAGAACCTGAAAGACACAGAAGAATATTAAGAGTGTCAGCGGCACTGAAAATTCCTACATTGGGATTAGAGTTGAAAAGATGTTCTTATGACTCTAACCTTAGCCTGTTTTTATAGGCAACTGAAGAATATCATCAGTAAGTCAGATCATGGAACTCGGTGAGAAATTTGGAATGAACCGTTGAAAGTGGGTTAATGTTTTTAAAAATGTTAAATATGTGTCTTAGGATCTTTAGATGAGATTATGTTTACAAAGTATTATCTTTCCGGTTTATTGGACATCCAGAAGGGTGGCTTGTTTTCTTCCTTCCATTCAACTATGTCTAATTTTCAGAGATTTCCTAGGCAAGTCTCTGCAGTTTTGTTGGCAAGATTCTTCAGAAGTGGTTTGGTCTGCTATTGCAGTGGCCCCCAAATTTTTGGGCCCCAGGGACTGGAAGAGGCGTGGTTTTGCACGCTGCCTGCATCCCACGGATGGGGCTTCGCTTGTTTGCACAGCCCAGTTTCTGGCAATGCCGTGGCCTGGTGCTGGTCCATGGACTGGGGGTTGGAGCCCCCTTTGCTATCGCCTCCTTCCTAGGCTGAGAGAAAGTGATAGGTGGTTTCATGCTCAAGGCAGGACTAGAACTCACCGTCTCCCAGTTGCTATCCTGATGCCTTAACCATTACACCCAACTGTTCAAAGGAGGAGGCTTCGTAAGGCAGGGGTCTCCAACCTTGGCAACTTGAAGCCTGGTGAACGTTGCCAAGGTTGGAGACCCCTGTCGTAAGGACTGGCGCAGTGGTTGGAATGCAGTATTGCAGGCAAACTCTGCCCACAGCCTGGAGTTCGATCCTAACCAGCTCAAGATTGACTCAGCTTTCTGTCCTTCTGAAGTCTGTAAAATGAGGACCCAGGTTGTTGGAGGTAGTAAGCAAATAATGCTTCTACATTGTAAACCACCCAGAGAGAGTGCTGTAAAAGCACTGCGGGGCAGCATGTAAGTCTAATTGCTATTGCTACCATCAAAGCCTTTCGGGAGACTTGAATTAAAAGTAATGCTTTTCCAGCTACGATTTTCAGACTCCTTTTTAGCAAGATTTATTGCAGGGGCGTCAAACTGGATTTCTTCAAGGGCCGGATCAGCATTGTAATTCTCCTCTGTGGGCCGGGAGGGGAGTGGGGGGACATGGCCTCCTGCAGCATCTTGCCAATGAAAACAGGACACAGCGGGCCACACGAGGCCTCCCCACGTGCTGTTTTCAGCCTGGACGGTGTCCTGCGGCACCGCTGGCCAAAACGGGGTGCAGCGGGGTGTGCAAGGTTCCCCACCTTGTTTTCATCTAGGACGGCCTCCTGCAGCACCTTGCTGGACAAAATGGGGCGCGGGGAGGCCTCATGTGCCCTCCTGCGCCACGTTTTGGCCGGTAGAGTGCTACAGGAAGCCATCCAGGCCAAAAACGGGGCACAGAGGGGCCCCGTGTGGCCAGGGGTGAGATTCAATTTTTTTAACAACCGGTTCTGTGGGCGTGGCTTAGTTGGTGGGCATGGCTTGGTGGTCATGTTATTGGCTGGGCATGGCCAATTCAATATCACTCACATCGAGGCACGCCTCTCCTCGCCTGGCCTCTCATGACTGTGGGGATGCTGCAACAGTTGTAAGTGTGAAAAATTGTCATAAGTCACTTTTTTCAGTGCCAGTGTAACTTTGAATGGTCACTCCACACAAGCAAAGTACCAGCAAAGGAGGGGAAAAAACCTCCAGAGAAGTTCCAGAGACAGGAAGTCTAGTCCTGCCGAGAATGTAATAAGGGTTAACGGAGAGGCAGTTTCTGTAAGCAACACCAGAATGTTTCCTTCCTGCCTTCCTTACAGGATTAGGCCAGTAATTTCTTCTAACCGGTTCTCTGAACTGCTTAGAATATTAACATCCGGTTCTAATGAATAGGTGCGAACTGGTAGAATCCCACCACTACGTGTGGCCCCTCCATACCCTGTTTTGGCTGCCAGAGGCACCAAGGGCTGGACTTTGCTATTTCCAGGCTGGCCCCATGGGCCAGATTTAAGCACCCCGCGGGCCAGATCTGGCCCGCAGGCCTTGAGGTTGACACCCCTGATTTATTAAGATTAAAGGGGTAAGGTTTCATGAATTCTGCCAACTGAACCAATTAATAGATTAGAGTGTCTGTTATTTTGTGGATTCCTAGGTGCTCTCTGAGCTAGCTTGTTTTCTTGCAGACATTTCATTACCCTAACTAGGTAACATCATCAGTGCTAGACTGTCTGTTGTTTTGTTTCCAACGGCTTTCCTTGGGGTGCCATAGACAGGGATCCTCACAAGTATTGAGAAGGTTGCTGCTTGCAATTTGCACAAGGGTCTCTGGGAATCTTTATCCATCTGGAAGCACCCCCCTCCCCTTTTTACACTCACCTTGCTGTGAAGCTCGGTAAGAGCCCATTGGCCGCTGCCCCATGAGGCTGTTTCCTTGATTACTCTGGCTCATCATGGCAATGGAAGACTGCCCTTGGTAATGTTGGGTTCCCGCTTGCGGAGAGTTGTAATGGGATGTTGCTGCTTGCTGGTGAATCATGGAAACTGCAACACAAAGAATTGCAAGCTGGGTTCCCACGACATGCTCAACTTGGCTGCTGAACTAACCCAGTTTCTGAGTTTGCACAAACTCCTAAACCATTAACCCCATTAATTAACCAAGACTGCTTGGGTTGACTGTGTTGTGGTCCGCCGGCGGCCTGAGGAGCTGGCAGCAGAGTTGGACAGTGGGGAGGAACATGGGCCAGTCCTGGAGTCTGGGGAGGATTCAGACGAGGGATCTGTGTCCAACACAGAGATGGGACCAGGACCATCTGAGAGTTATGTGCTGACTCTGGAGCCTCCAGAATCTGACAGCAGCAAGGCAGAGGAACAGGGGGAGCCTGTTCCCAGTGTGCACTTGCACAGAGCTGTCAGAAGGCAAGAACAGTTAAGACAAAAGGGGCGACACGGGAGTAAGGCTTAGAGATGATTGGCCCCTCCCATAAGCCATAAAGGAGGAGCAAAGAGACATGAGCCTTTGCAGGAAGCAACTTTGTTCGTTCTGGTCAGTTTAAACTCTGAAGCTCCGTATTGATTTTGTGCTCTGTTTGGCCTTGTACAGCTAATTGGCAATTTAGTCATTGGCAGCATTTCAAGGGTGATAAAGGTGGGTGCTTATCATCCTTATCCTGAAAGACTGTGGCAGACTTCTGTTGGACTATTCATAAACTGGGACTCATTATGGGTTGTGAATGCATATAATTCACAGCCGTTGAAATAAAAAAAAAAAGGTTTTTGAGTACAGCATGATTGTTAATGTCTCAGGAAGCCTTGGTCAGAACAGACTAGGCATGCTAAGTTCCAGAGAAAGAAACCAATAGTATTAACATTAACACCTAGATCCCTCTCACAGTTACTACTGCTGAGCTAGGTACTCAACAGAATAACAGAGTTGAAAGGGACTTTGTAGGTCATCTAGTCCAATCCCCTACCCAAACAGGAGACCCTATCCATTTCTGACAGATGGCAGTCCAGTCTCTTCTTGAAAGCCTCCAGTAATGAAGCTCCCACAACTTCTGAAGGCAAGCTGTTCCACTGGTTGATTGTTCTCACTGCCAGAAAATTTCTCCTTATTTCTAATTGAATCTCTCCTTGATCAGTTCCCATCCATTATTCCTTGTCTGGCCTTCAGGTGCTTTGGAAAATAGGTTGATCCCCTAAATATTCCTATTCTTGACCTCTGCATTTGCTTTTTTCCTCTCTAATTGCAGGACTTTTACTTTTCTCACCACTCCACTGCATCTCGTTGGGTGGTTTAATCAATGAATTGATGTCACAAATTGATTGCCATTATTGAAAGCCAAAGTGGGCACTTGTAGACCAAAGAGGCTGCATTGATCTAAGCAGGGCAAAGGTTAAGTCCACCGTACCTGGGTTGGATTGCATGCTGAGATTTGCTCGCGAGACGTAGTTGCCAATCGATCCCTGGCCTTGCATGGCAACGCTCTGAGATGCAGGCACCGTGTGGCTATAACTGGGCCCAGTTCCATGGCTACTGAGAGTCATGCTCAGGGAAGTCGTGGGCATGGTACTCTGACCTGACTGCTGCATAGACACGTGGTTGGGACCTAGGTAGAAAGCAAGCAGAAAGAAGAAGAAAAAAAGACGTTCAGGATGCAAAACATACTTTTTGATCAATCACCGTGTCTGCAAAGAAGGGGCAAAGAAAACCAAACCAAACCAAACCAAAAATCTCATGTTGCTTTCTCTGGGTCCTTGCAATTCCTTGCAACATAATGCTTGTTGAGTTGAGGGGCCTGACCTCTTGGCTCGCTTTTTAAAAGTCTTGAAAGGCGCTTCTCTTAGACAGACTTTCAATTAAGTAAAGGTTCCCCTCACACATACGTGCTAGTTGTTCCCGACTCTAGGGGGCGGTGTTCATCTCAGTTTCAAAGCTGAAGAGCCAGCACTCTCCGAAGACGTCTCCGTGGTCATGTGGCCAGCATGACTAAACGCGGAAGGTGCACGGAGCGCTGTTACCTTCCCACCCTATTTTTCTACTTGCATTTTTACATGCTTTCGAACTGCTAGGTTGGCAGAAGCTGGGACAAGTAATGGGAGTTCACTCTGTTACGCAGCGCTAGGGATTCAAACCGCCGAACTGCTGACCTTTCTGATCGACAACCTCAGCGCCTTAGCCACTGAGCCACTGATTCTTAATGTTTTAGTTGTATGATTTTCATCTTTTTATGGTAAATAGCAAGTAACTAGAGTAGACATGAATGAAATGTCTTCTGGCAGTGCCTTCATTTTATTGTTTCTTGCTTTGGGATGTTAGATGCCCAGAATTATTTGGGAATTCAAGAGGTCTCTAGATTAGATTAGATTAGATTAGATTAGATTAGATTAGATTAGATTGGATGGATAGAAAGACAGACAGACAGACAGACAGATGATAGATGGATAGATAGATTGGTAGATAGATAAATACAAAGATAAAACACATAGACAAACATAAGTAGATAGATATAATAAAGGCAGATTTTATATATATTATATATATATTTATTTATATATATTAGAGATAGAGATAGATGAGAGAGACAGACAGATGATAGATGGATGGATAGGCAAGCAGATACAGAAATAACAAAACAGGGACAATAACATCCTATGACTGTGAACCCTGAAAGGTTATGCAATAACAAATTGTTAAGTCTTCTTAATTTCTTTGATTTCCCACCCCTTTTCTTCTGCACACAAACGTTTTCTGGAATATTCTTGCAATGCAAATGGAAGGTGAAATGGCTCAACACTGATCTGAGACAGGATCAAACATTTTCACACTTAGCTTCCCACAATCTGGGCCTCCTGCAACAATGGTGGTTGCAGAATCCTAGCCGCTGCTATATAAACTGATGCAAACATTTTTCCCCATGGTTTTAAAAATGTGTTTTGCTCAATCTTGGTCACTTTAAGGTACCTGGATTTCAACTCCCAGAATACCCCAGCCAGCTCTAAACACTCAACCTTGATTAGTTTTAAAACCAGCTCCAAGCAGCCATGATGCAGTTGCCAGGCAACCATGGACCACTTACCATTGCTAATTTGGCTCTGCATGAGAGATGATGTTGGAAGCCCCGTGCTGATTGCATCACTGAGGTTGCTCTGTGAATGGAGAGACTGATTGGAGGCACTCTGACTCATTCCAGCTGGGCCGAGGTTCATGTTTTGTGTCGGTGGCTGTGAGAGAGGAATAAAAAGACGAAGTGTTTCATAAAGGAGCTGGGTTTTTCTTTCTTTCTTCATGGATGGATGGATGGATACAACTGATATACAGGTAATCCGTGACTTACAACCACAACTGAGCCCAAAATTTCTGCTGTTAAGCGAGGCATTTGCTAAATGAGTTTTGCCACATTTTAGTACCTTTCTTGCCTCTGTTGTTAAGTGAACCATTGCAGTTGATAATCTAGCAAACCAGTTGTTAAATGAATCTGGCTTCCCCATTGACTATCTTTGTCAAAAGGTCACAAAAGGGGATCACATCACCCCAGGACACTGCAAACATCATAAATACATGCCAGTTGCAAAGCATCTAATTTCTGATTACTTGATCACAGGGATGTTGCAAAGGTTGTAACTGTACAAGAATGGCCATAAGTCATTTCTTTCAGTGCCTTTGTAACTTTGAATGATCACTAAATGAACTGTTGTAAGTTGAGGACTACCTCTAGTTAGGTGCCCATCTCGCCATCATGACTCTAGATAGATCACCGAAAAACTTAAACTCAAAAGAATGAAACACAATGTAAACAAGACGAATAATCATCATAATCAACATAACAGCCATGGTGGCGCTGTGGTTAGAATGCAGTACTGCAGGCTAAATCTGTCGACTGCCAACAGTTCAATCCTGACAGGCTCAAGGTTGACTCAGCCTTCCATTCTTCCAAGGTTGGTAAAATGAGGACCCAGATTGTTCGGGGCAATGGGCTGATTCTGTAGACCGCTTAGAGCAGGGGGTCTCCAACCTTGGCCACTTGAAGACTTGTGGACTTCAACTCCCAGAATCCTTTAGCCAGCTTTTTGCTGGTTTGCTGGCTGAGGAATTCTGGGAGTTGAAGTCCACAAGTCTTAAAGTGGCCAAGGTTGGAGACCCCTGGCTTAGAGAGGGCTGTAAAGCACTGTGAAGCGGTATATAAGTCTAAGTGCTATTGCTATCATCCTCCTCCTCTATTTTTTAGGTTAGGGTCGAAAGAAAAAAAAAAGTGATCACATCTAGGTTTAATGATTTACAGAAGGCCAATAAGGTTGGGGATGCTATTTCAGGGGCAACAATAGTGGAGACATAACTCCTAGGTGCCACTAGATGGCACTGTCTAATAGATGGAAGCCAGAGGACATTGATTTTGACAGTTCTGGTATGGCAAATAGGGACAGAGAGAGATGGCCCTGCAGATAACCTGGTTCTGGGCTATGCAGGGCTTTATAGGTGGTCACCAGCACTTTTAATTGCTCTTTCCTGGCAGGCAGGGTGACTCACAGAGGTGTTACATGGTCACATTGTGAAGCGTGGATTCTTGGAACTCTCTGAGCTTGGTTGTTGTCTTGCAAACGTTTCATTACCTAACAAGGTAATATCATCAGTGTGTCATTGGTGCGCTGCTGATGTTACCTAGTTTAAGGAATGAAACATCTGCAAGAAAACAATCAAGCTCAGAGAGAAAATAAAGGACCCCTCATTTCACCCTGAGCTACAAATATTTTCCTTCATCAGATCCTTTGTGTGTCCTCATGTACAGGTATAAACCATACCCAACATCTTTTAGTCCATAACACAAAAACTTTAATTCTACTGCAATCCACACATCAGGTGTCTTTCTGGTTGTTCCCCTACCTCCCATAAAGCACAACCAAAGGATTCTGCTCAAACTGATGAGACTTCTTTTGAATTGACTCATTCAGCAATAAACTTGGTTTGACTCACATGCAGATACTTACAGCAGGCAGCAAGGACTGCATATTCTGATTAGAGTCTGCTATGGTGGCCAGGTAAACCAGATTTCTGTGTAAGATTTGTTGGTATCTATAGACAAAAGAAAACAGCATACATCTGAGAAAAAAAAAACCTGTGTTGGAAACATTTATCCTTTTAAACCTGCATCTGAATTTGGCCCTTTTTCTTTAAAATCCCAAGCATGTTTGCTACCATCAAATCCCCGCCAAAAAACCCTCACCTGCTTAACTTTAATAAGTAGCAATAATTTATCCTGAAACTGCTAAAATGTCACCCTAAGAATCAAAAATGTTCAATGCATTGTATTTTTGATCCTTGTAGCCAACTCCTTCATTTTTGTGCATCGAAACTGACACATTCATCTTTTTCCTATATTACATGACATGAAAGATAAAGAGTCAGTTACTAAGAGTTCCTTAGTCTTTGAGCTTTGTTGTTTTCTTGCAGACATTTCATTACCCAACTAGGTAACATCATCAGTGTATCATTGCTGCACTGACGAGGCTACCTAGTTTGGGTAATGAAATGTCTGCAAGGAAACCACCAAGCTCAGAGAGCATCAAGGACCCCTCATGTCAACCCTGAGCTACTAATATTCCCCTCCATCTATCAGTTAATAAAGACAGAGGTGCAGAGACACAGCATTAATACATGCAGTGCAGAGGTACTTTCCCCAAACACTGGATTTTAAGAGGGGGTTGGTGGGGGGGAGGAGCTTAAAATGGATGCTAAATATTCCTGGAGGATTCCAGTCCCTGGAATGAAATCGCTTGAAACGGGAGGGGGGGGGTGAAAGCGGGAAGGGAAAAGCACCAGAAAATTCTGCAGTTTGAGGGAGGTAGCCTGTTAGAATGGGGGTGAAACAATTAGTGTGCATTTGATTACACTGCACTTGGTTGTCTGCTGAACCCAAGTGGAAGTTACACACAGGGGTGGGATGCTGCCGGTATAACAACCGGTTCAGTGATCAGGTGCGTCAACATAATGCAAAGGTCCTTACCTACTATGTTATTTTGGGGAGTAACACAGCTGAGGAGCAGCAAAAAAAAAAACCATTAGCTGTGCCGTCCAGTCAGCTGAAAAACACTGCATGCAGGTGCACAGCATTTGGAAAGTCTTTTTTTTCCTGCTTTTTCAACCTCAGCTGTGCCACGCAAAGCACCTGAGGTTGAAAAAGCAGGAAATAAAGGAAAGGTAGGAGCCCAGGTGGGCAGGTGGGCCAAAACAGCAGCAGACACGGAACCGGTTCCGTGTCTGCTGCTCTTCAGAGCTACCAGTTCTATAGAGCCGGGCAGAACTGGTAGCATCCCACCCCTGCACCCCTGGTTACACAACAACTAAGCTCAACTGGGTTTGGCAATCTGAGGTTCAGCTTCAGTTGAGAGACCAACTGTTGCTTTAACCTGTTGGTGAGCCCCCCTACCAACTTTGATGATAAAGCTAGAATTTCATTTAGAGGTGTAGCACAAATCTAAAACAAATGTCAGACCAAATAACGTAAATGAGGTATGGTTGAAAACAGTCACCTCTAGAGATGAATGTTTTAGAAAGTAGGAGGGTCTCCAGGCGTGGCCAATTTAAGACTTGTGGACTTCAACTCCCAGAATTCCTCAGCCAGCAGGCTAGCTCAGGAATTCCCAAGAATCCCCATAGCGGTCTGAGGAATTCTGGGAGTTGAAGTCCACAAGTCGTAAATTTGTCAAGCTTGGAGACCTCTCTGTTAGAGGCAGGGGAGTCTATGGAGTAGAATCATGATAACTGCCATAGTATATACAAGAAACAGGGCATGGGAAATGTGATTGCAGCCATCTTGACTTTTTTTTGACTCCTTCACTCCCTCTATAAAGAACAATGAGAAGATTCTGGCTCATGACAATGTAATTGCAGATATTCTCCACATTAGCAATAATACAATTGTTCTTTTCATCTGCTGACAGTTGATCAGGAAATGATAAAGCTCATCATATTTTAGCATCAACCTATAAATTCATACTCACTGAGTACATTCTGCTGTTTTGCCCTTGCTCTGATAGTCCATGATGCATTGTATCAGATGGTGATTTTCATCCAACATCTGGATTTAAAAGCAACAAAAGAGATCCAGCCATTACTGATTGAAAGGTAGCTGAGAAACCTCATTTGATCCTGCTAAAATGTTTGATACTCCTTGCAAACCATGTTTATGCATTAAGTACTATGAAATCTAAACCAGCATTTAGCAAAAGCAGTGGAATAATATTTGCATTAATGGAATGAAATGTTTCACCATCATCTACATTTAATTTTTAAATTTATCTTGCCTTAATTTTTTTTGTGGGCTGGAGACAGCGTACGTAGCAAACATTCCCACCTGTTTTCACTACAACAACCACCCCCCTGTGAGTTGGATTGAGCTAAAAGAAGGAGCTGGACCAAAGTTTTTAAACATTATCATTGCTAAAGCTCTGTAGAGACTCTCAGAGTTGTCCCAAGGGTGCTTTTATAGGAGGAAACTGGACTTTCTTGTTTTTTCTTTGAAGATGTTTTGCTTCTCATCCAAGAAGCTTCTTCAGCTCTGACAGGATAGTGGGGAATGGAAGGATTTATATTCCTTGCAGACAGCTGGTCATTTGCATCCTTTTAAAGCAGGGGTCTTCAAACTTGACAGCCTTCAGACTTGTGGACTTCAACTCCCAGAATTCCTCTTCATGTTAGCTCAGGAATTCTGGGAATTGAAGTCCACAAGTCTTAAACCTGCCAAGTTTGAAGATCCTTGTTTTAAGGGGTTGTTGAAGCACTTGGAGGTTTATCTGTGCCTTCAGGGTCACCTGAGTGGTATTCCTGGTTCCTGAAATCTGCAATTTTTTTCCCTCTGGAAATGCCAATCATACTCCCACACCATTCAAAGGGTGTTCATCCCAAATTGTATAGCTAAAAGTCTGTAGAGATCCTCAGTCATCCAGGTCATGGTTGTCCCAAAGATGCTTTTTCTGGAGGCAACTGGACTTTTTTGGGGGGTGGGAAGACGTTTCACTTCTCATCCAAGAAGCTTCTCCAGCTCTGACAGGATAGCAATTATCATTTCTATTGATCAATAAGGTTCTGTAAGGTCAAAATCTTCTCCAGGTTCTGCAGGATGAGATCGTTTCAGCAGAAGATGCTAATATTGAACTTAGGAGTTCTTCACTTTAAAACGTTATGCTTCAAATGTATAGGCAAATCGTATTTTATATGTCTTTCCCACCTTGCAAATGGCTCCTGTAATTTGTTTGCAAAATGTAAAACTGGTCTGCAGGGTAGGTGCCAAAGGCAGCATGCAATCAAAATCCCACTTCTTTTATTTGCACCATGATGTATATATATATAAAAAGGTAGAGTTTCAGTCAGATGGTAGCGGCTGCCACGTTGCTTTTTGGAACCCCTTGCTTTGAACACGGTTGACAGTATTGAATAGGTTCACCCATGAAAGCAGCCATGTCATAGTTTGCTGCTTTTGCTTGAATGTAGCCATTGTAGATCATCTTCTGGATTATGGTTTGATGCATCCTGTACAGGTAAGTCTTTTGAGTTATGACCATAATGGAGCATGCCCTTCACAGTTTTAAATCATGACAGTTGAAAATCAGGTCAGCAACATTAAAGACCTAATTTTATGACTTTTTTTTTTTGCAGTGGTTGTTAAGCAAATCTGTGGTCGTTAAACAAACCAAAAAAGTAATGAAGGAGAAAAGCAACCTAGAACTAAGGAGAAATTTCCTTGACAGCGAACAAATGGAACAAATTGCCTCCAAAACACTGGAAGTTTTTAAGAAGAGACTGGACAGCCATCTATCTGAAATGGTACATAGGGTTTCCTGCCTGAGCAAGGGGTTGGGCTAGAAGACCTCCAAGGTCCTTTCCAACGCTGTTATTCTGTTTGCTGTGGCTGCAGTTTTTCTAAAAAAAAACCTCAAAGTAAATGCCAATTTCTGGCCAAATGGTCATAAAACACAATCATATTACCACAAGACTGCAAACATCTGCAAATGTGGCTTGGTTGACAAGCACATGAAATGTGGTCACATGACCGCGGGGGGAGGGGCTCCAGCCATTGGAACTTTGTCTATGGCAGTGGTGGGATTCTGTAGGTGTGGCTTGATGGACATGGTGTGGCTTGGTGGCGTGGCTTGGTGGGCGTAACAGGGGAAGGATACTGTAAAATCTCCATTCCCTCCCCACCCCACTAACAAAAGAAGGCCCGGCCAATCAGCTGGGACTTGGGAGGCAGAGAATAGATGGCGGTGAGGCCACTCAGAAATGGTATTCTGAACTACTCAAAATTTCTGCTACCGGTTCTCTGAACTACTCAAAGTTTCCGCTACCGGTTCTCCAGAACTGGTCAGAACCTGCTGAATGTCACCTCTGGTCTATGGGTTGTAAGTACCCCCAGATAAATCTGCCGTAACTTTGAACTTTGCTAAGCGAGCAGTCATAAGTTGGGGACTATCTGTAACTTGTTTATGAAAATAGGGTTAAAAACATGGTCACATCTCAGACTGCATCAAACCACAGTTCACAATTCGTAATGGATGAGTTCACACACTGGAGTAAACCAGAATCAAAACCAGCCATTAGATTCACTTGGGGCCTTAACATTCTTTCTTTGATTTGGGAGATATATATTTCAAGAAGTCAGACTATTGTGTGTTAAGCATGTTTAAAGCAAGCCGAGTTTCAACATAATGATGTGTGAACCCAGTCTCAAAGCAAAATACATATAAAACACACCCATAAATTGTGAGAGAGATAAATATGAATAAAATACGGGGGGGGGGGGGGAACCTGCTGAAGAAAGCAAGCATGATTCTTGTAAACATTCAAGGCCATTATGCTAGCTTAATAAATGGCTATATTCACAGAACAACCTGAATAACAAGCTAAAGGATTAGATTCCAGCATTTTAGCCTAGCATGTAAAGCTCCAGGTGTGGCTGTAAGAATCACAGAGAGCAAGAAAAAAAATGTGTTAGTTCCATAAATCACAGCTGAATTAATCAAACAGACTAAAGGGTGTGCAAACATGGCTTTTTGTGTATAAACCCAAACAAGGCATGGTATTAATTGGGCAATCTGCCACTTTGATGTCATCCTTAAGAGCCACATTTCCTTCTCTTTAGCAGTCAATGGAGTTGTCCCGAAAGTACTTTTTTCAAAAGGATTTTTGTTTTTTCTTTCCTTGAAGACATTTCGCTTCTCATCCAAGAAGCTTCTTCAGTTCTGTCAAAACTAGCTGAACTGAAGAAGCTTCTTGGATGAGAAGCGAAACATCTTCAAGGAAAAGCAAAGTCCAGTTGCCTTTTGAAAAAAGCACCTTTGGGGCAACTATGACCTGGACGACGGGAGATCTCCACAGATGGTCCATGGAGTT